GGCGAGGGCTTTCATGGTGCGGGGTTGGAGATAGACGGGGTTGAGGAATTCGGCGAGGAAGGCGACGTGGTCTTCGGAGAGGGAGAGGTCCGGGAGGATCTCGGGGTCGGTGGAGGGGTAGGGTTTGAAGATTGTTGAGGATGATGTCTAAATCAGGGTGAGCAAGGGGGCGGGAAGGAGGGGAAGGGACGCACTAGTTGTTCTCGCGAGCTCTTCGCCTCGGGTGCGGACTCTGCGACGTATCCTTCCTCGCCCTCCTGTGCTGCATGGAACCACCCACTGATGCTCAACCGCGCGCGTCCGTCCTGCCCACCTCCCACCACGACCTCCTCCACCGAATGGAAGCTCCTGCCGGGCTGGACCTCGAAGAAGATAAACTGGTTCCAGCTCGGGGGGATGCACTTCTCCGGGACACACTCGGGTTCGGGGAGGCCGTCGTCATTGATCCTGGTGGGGTAGAGCTCGAGGGCGCCGCCCCAGTCCTTCTGCCAGAGCTGGTAGTGGGGGAGGGGCATGTAGAGGATGTAGGATACGCGGCGCGAGCCGATGACGTCGTCGTGATTGAGGAGGTGGCAGCCACGGGTGTACGAGTTGACGGACATGTCCTGCTTCTTGCCCGAGAGGGGCCCGCAGCCCGTCACGGCGCGCAGGAACGCGCGGAACTGGGGCGAGTAGAGTGCATCGCGCAGCGCGAGGAGGCTGGGGAGACGCGCGATCTGGGACGGGTCGAGGAAGTTGAGGGAGGCGAGATCGCCGGTCTGGTTGACCTGTTGGGGGCCAACTCAGCGGGGAGGGACGGGCAAGGACGAGGAGGCGCGACATACCTTGTATATGTCGGTCTCTTTTTCGGTAAAGTTGAGCTCGCTGAGACACTCGTCCTTGACCTTCTTGAGCAGCTCGTCCTGGAAGAGCCTCTCGACGAGGGCGTACTTGAAGGGGGCGCTCTCTGTGTAGTCCTGGTTGAGGCGTGCGACGTTGTTGTGGTCGAAGAGATCGTTGGCGAAGTGGTGGGTGGGGTCGTCTGAGACGATGAGGGCGGTCGTGTTTATGTGGTCGGGTGCTGCTGGGGCGGGTGGGGGCACCGGGGAGACATGGGAAGTCTTGAGGCGCTTTATGAGGACGGCCTGGTCTGTGTTGTCTGGGGACGGGGAGCGATCGCGGATGCGGGCCATGAGCATGTAGGGCGGGGAAGAGAGAAGGCGAGCAGATGGATGTGACCCGCGACTATATATTTCCTTCGCCAAAAAATGATCGAGACCGCTCGGTCTCCGTCATTGGGCGAGGCCTTTCTGGGTTCCTCATCTCCAATCAGCAACATCCCTCCGACCCTCCCTCCCTCTCAACATAACCATCCCCTCCATAGACCACTCTGGACTTCCATTGGTCGAAACACTCCCTAGCCAATCACCGCGCAGGCCAGTTGCCAGATCCAGTCTGGATTCCGTGCCCCAGACAGACGCGTACAAGTGGCCATCTTTATCTGATAAAATCAAAATGCTCTCCCAAATCCAGACGATCTAGACGGAACCTCTACCGCCGCAACCCACAACCCGCATCGAGAGCCTTGCCCCAAGTTGCCTTATGTACCCATGCAGCTCGATCTCACAATCCAATCTCGGGCTCCCCGCATCTCAGATGGTCAGGACATGCACGAACCACCTCCCTGGCTGCTGCCTTCTGTGGGACCACAGGCTACCTGCATGCATGCCACCGCGTTCACATCATTCAGCCCTACTCGACGACCACAATTAACAGCCTGTTACAGTTCCCGCGCACGCCGAGACCCAGTAACTTTAAGAGGCCGGGTCACCAAACGTATGTACCGCCTCCTCCAGACCTTCCTGCAGCGTCGCTCGAAGCTCGATTTTCGGACTTGCGGACTTGAAGCTTGATCCCGCGAGCTTGCGTTTGCTCCCCCGCGATCGAACCTATAGGCTCCTTAGGCTCCCAACCGACACTGCTCCCTCGTGCTCGTGGTGCCTCCTTCCGACTCTAGACCTTGGCTGCTTTGCTCCCACCCCGCCCACGACGGACCGGAGGTCCGTCCGAGCGTAGGTCAGACGAAACTTTAACGAACGATGCCTGCAGGCGGCAGAAGACCAGTGGGAGACTGGCGTATTGCTTAGGCGGTCGGCGGCAGGGACCTGGATCAGAACTTCAAGTTCATGGCGACCAGCAGCGAATCGCGGTGCTCGGTTACTCGCCCATTGGTTGGTTGAGTGAATGAACTCTTCTCTTCGAAGGCTCACCTGGAGGAACGTCATGACTCACGCGTGCGTGTGTGCACCCTCGCCTGAGGGACGCAAACTGGGAAGTCAAGCTGCTCAAGCCAAAAGGACGCTGAGCGGCGGCCCGGGAGCTCGCCCAGACACGGTTAGCAAAGGAGTTCAGAACCTCGAAGAGTCCTTGTCCTTACTTGCTCTACACGCGCAGCCCGCAAGAACTGAACTGCAAATAACTACCCAATCCCAGCTTTCGACGTTCGTCGTTCGACTTACGCAAGTCTCGTCCTGCAAATCTCCAAAACCTTGTCCAGGAAAGATACCTAGGCCTACCATATCCTACCCCATCTCGTTCATCTCCACGCACCCGTCCTGTTCCTGTCTCTGTTCTATGAACGAATCTAGAGGCCTGAGCTCGCCCAGACAGGGTTAGCGAGGAAACCCGAATCTCGAAGAGCCCTTTACTTACTTGCTTTACACGCGCACTGGCAGGAACTGGACTTCAAATAACTGACCAATGCCAGCGTTCGACGTTCGACGTTCGACTTGTGCAAGTCTCCATGGCCGAAGTCAAATCTCCACGAAGGATACCTAGGCCTACCATATCCGTCGTCCCCATCCATCGCCACATCTTACTACCCCATCCCATCCATCTCCACGCTCGCCCGTTCTGTCCCTGTTTCCGTTCTATGAACGAACGAAATCTACACGAGTATCTATCAGCGCAGCCACACCCAACACCCAACAGCCAATACCCATCCAGCGCCACATCCCCGCACCCTGCCTTCCTTCCCCACTCGAGCAGCCTGAGTGCGTTTATAGCCAGCCAGCCCTTCACCGTCCATCTTCGAAGCACTTAAATAAGTAAGTATGCAGTTCGGCAGCCTCTTAACGCCCGCCGGGCTCCGGAGTCTAGGGCGTAGGCCTGAGGCCTGTGTATGACATACTATGTCCTTACTCGCCCTCGCCCTCGCCTTACCTCGGTTATGGTATCTGAATCTGTGGTTTCGGTACTCTGCAGTGTATGTATCCGGGTTCTAATTTCTGGTGGGCCTCGACCCGGCACGCAGTAGCAGTATCAGTTGGATCGTGGTTGGCGAAGCGCTCTGCTATTGGGTCGATAGGTTGGGAAACTGGGAAGTCTGCGCATGCGAGCTACGTACCGTCACCGTTCGGTTTTGGGTTCGGGTAATTCGACGTCCTTCGCCGTGTGAGGCTGGCTGGCTCTTGTGTTCCGAATCTGACTCACTGACTCGTTCGCTCACTGACTGCGGTCGCGGTCGCAGACGGACGCAGGCCCGCGTCCCGGATTCTGGGTTCTCGGGCCCTTCGTGCACGTATTTCTGGGACCTCTACGAACATGATATCGATCCATTCCTGCAGGTGGCTTTCCGTCTCCCTCTTCTGGGCCCTAATGAAACAGGTCTTTCCTGAGCAGTGATTCGCTCTCTCCTCTGGCACAGGAATCTGGAAGTATTGTTTCCCCCAACCAACCAACCAACCAACCACCAAGCGCTAGCTCAGCTCCTGTCAAACCGCCACCTAATACCGCCCGTGCTCGCCTCTCGTAAACCACCATCTGGGACCGATAAGGATAAGGTCGACTGGACCAATGGGAGCGACAATGCAGTGACGATGCGAGTCGAATATGACTAACGTCGAAGGCATATTCCTAAGCCCCGACGAACAAGACCTAGCACTTATTCTTGATGTTCGAGCGCTTCCGAATTTTCTTTAGGTCTTCTAAGCCTAATTAAAAGGCGATTCGCCGTCTCGTCGTCCTCCTCTGGTGGTACAGGAAGTACGGTTCTACCTACCATCGATATATGTATGCAGCGCAATGTCAGACCGCCGCCACTGTAACCAATACCGCCCACTGTCCTTTATCAGATCACCTTGCCCTGAGACATGGAACTGATAAGCATAAGGTCCAATCAGCCAATGAAAGAGCCAGCGGAGTGACGAAATGATTCCAGAGTCTCTTAGACGGCTCTGTGTCAAATAATGCTCACTTGAGTCGAACGAAGAACTTCGGACACGGCGATAGAGCGTGGCGCACGCTCGCTCGAGGTCTAGAGTATCGGGCCCGGGGCGGCGCTCCGTTGGACGTATGTTGGCCTTCGTATACAGTCATACGGTAAAGAAGAAGGGCGGTCGTTGTTGTTGGACCGTTAGATTTGGGAAGGTTGGTCTAGGCGACTCGGATTCATGGAGTCAAGGGGCTACTACTTAAATTAGCGAACATGGAATAGACAGCTACCATCTATCTATTCTCGCACTCGAGGCTCTGCTTTCTTCCTAAATACCAGGATAAGGACCACTCGACCAATGAAATGGCCAATAAAATGACGACACTGTCCCGGAATTTATGACGTGACAGGTGCACATTTATTCCCGCGCGATCAAACTCACCTCCCCGCGCAAATTCAGACTTCAAAATTCGAAGTACGGTGATTTCTCATTCTCATCAGTGAACTAGAAGATATTTCTCCTATTCCTTCACTTGGGCACC